TCCATTGTGTAATTATAGTTGTTTGATTTATTATTGTTTTCAATCGATTCAAGTCGTGTACCGAATAAATCTTTTTATCTATGAACGATTAAAACTCTTATATACATGTCATTGTATATTATTATTTTGTTTGATAAAGAATGATGTAAGTAATTTTTTAAATAATCTTTTCATTCAATTTCTTTTTATAACAAAAATGTGTTCTAATAACGATAATTTAATTCTATATTTATACAAAATAAAATCAAATTCATTTTATTTTACTTGGAAAATACCACCCAATGCATTTAGGACAAAACTAATTTTTTAATTTTATAAACAATATGGATAAAAACCAGTTTAAACATTAAACAAAATTAAATAATAATGATTTATTGTGAAACAAAAGGTGATGATCGTGATAAAAATTTGACGTTGTGGACTTCTTTTTTAAAATGAAACATCACTTGTATTTTTATTTTATATTTTTTTATATTCACTTATTATTTTTGTTATAACAATCCTTTATAATTAAAACAATATAATATTGTTAAAATTATTATATATAATAGTTTTTTGTTCATTTTATTTTTATTGGTAATTTTGTGGAAAAACGATAAATTATGTATTCCCAAAAAATAAATAATTGTAGTAAATACTATAAATAATAATACATTTTAACTATTTATATAACTTATTGATAAAACTATCAACTTTTAGGAAACCAATTTTAATATAAAAAAATATTATAATACTTATTATATAAAACACAAAAAATTGAGTAATAATAGAAACTTCACAACAACTCGAGTTGAATAAACAAGATTTGGAATTTGTTGTTTGTTTTTAATTGAGAAATAATAAAAATAGATTTGAAAAGGTATAAAAACATCACCAAAACAGAAAGATCATCTCAATGTCTGGCATTCAATTAAGCGACGTAGTTACTTCTCTTTACAACGAGTTCAAGTTGTCCCACAAGTGGAGATACATTCTTTTCAAGTTGAACGACAAGATGACAGAAATTGTCGTTGATAAAACAGCTCCTTTCGATGAAACTTATGAAGATTTTACCAAAGCACTTCCACCAAAGTCAGCCCGTTATGGCGTTTATCACCTTCAATACAACCAAGGAAGTGGCAAAAGAGAAAAGATCATCTTTTACTTGTGGACTCCAGCTGCTTGCTCCATTAAAGAGAAAATGGTGTATTCAGCAACCAAGGCAACAATCAAGCAAGCATTTGTTGGGCTGTCTGTCGAAATTCAGGCGACTGGGTACATCGAACTTGATGAACAGAAGGTGATAGACAAGGTCAAGTCTGTCTCTCAGTGAGTAATTCACTTTTTGGTTTAAATTGGTTACAAAATTGTTTAAAATTACATTTATAATTGTAACAACTTTTGGATAAATGTTTAACTACAAACAAATAATATACTGTAAAATTATAAGAATATCAACATTCTTAACATTTTATGATAATTCTAAAATTTTGATTCAATTTTGTTATTTAAAATTCTTTATAATGTCACAATTGAATATTATAAAACAATTTTATCATTTTATATAATGATAAATTTAAGTGTTTTTTTATAAAAATAAAATATAAAAAGAACTAAAAACAACAGAAGAACGAAATTTATCAAACTGAAAAATACAAAGAGGTTTATATTAAAAAAATTATCGGATATGGTTATTTTCTTATGAATTTACTAAAAAATAATTAAAACAACAAAACAATTCTTGTGAAACTCAAAAATCGATCAAAGAGGGACTTTGTCTTCTGTTATCGAAAAGAACCAATGAATTACAATAAAATTAAAAAAAACAAAATCATCAATTTTTTGTTAACGTGTACATCCCCATATAAATTCTTTCAACTTCTGTTCAGTCATCTCATAATGGCTGAAGCTGCATTCAAGGCAATCGATACCAACAACGACGGCAAACTCCAATACGAAGAGGTCAAAGCTGCTATTGCTGCTAAGAAGGAAATCAAGAACGAGAAACTCGTTCAATTGATCTTCAAGGCTGTTGACGTTGACAACGACGGAACAATCGACCTTCCCGAGTTCACCAAGTTCCATCAAGCTATTGCTGGCGTTGATATGGCTGATGCCAAAGTCGGTCTTAAAGTTCTTTACAAGTTGATGGACGCCGATGGAGATGGAAAGTTGACTAAGGATGAAGTCACTGCTTTCTTCAAGAAGGTTGGATGTGAACAAGCTGTTGAACAAGTAATGAAAGCTGATGCCAACGGTGACGGATACATTACAATGGAAGAGTTCTGTGCTTTCTCACTTTAATTCAAACACTTTTACAACTTTATTTTGATTTCGTTTTTATTTTTAAAATATTGTTATTGATTTAACTATTGTTAATTTTTTAATTAACACATTGTTAATTGTATTTAATAAAAATAATTATAAACAATGCAATTGATCACATGAATTATATAACATTAATAACACAACACACCAACAAATAGACATATAAAACACTTAATTCATTTCGTTTAAAATCAATATAAAAACGTCTTATTTTTGTAAACAAACCGTTTGTTATTCGGCGTATTTGTATGAATTTAACCAATAAAGTAACTAAAATAATTTATATTCAAAATAGTTATAAAATATTAAAAAATAACATAAAAAATGGATTTTGTTTTTCCATTTGAAACAAATTTTCAAAACACTATAAAAACTATTAACACTTTAAATAACATTGAACAAAATTCAAGTGGTCTAAAAATCGGGGAAATATCGAGTTTATTAAATAAATTTCCGTTTTTTTAGAGTTTGTATTTTGTTCATAAACAATACACAAGTCAAAAAAAGGAAAACCATCAAAATTTTGATTAATATCCCTGAAAAAACAGGCAAAAACAAAAATTAGGGCGTTATTTTAAATGTTAAGATAACACAATTTGGAACATAAACCCTCCAAAGTCGACAAATTGTACTGTGAAACACATAACAATTAAAATTGTAAAACTTGATTATATATTTGGTGTGTTTTCCGGAGTTTGGACCGTTTTTGTGCAGACAGTACATAAATTCAATTTTTATAATTCCTGTGTTATCCAGCAACACAAAAATAAAAATATAAAAATCAAATATTAAAACCAATAGTTGTTTAATTAAATTTTTATTACAGATTTATTTTAATATTATCAAATATTTTTTTGGTGAATATCAATTGGGTAGTTTATTGTAAATAATTATCTCCATCAAAAATATATAAATGTGTATCATCCATCTCTAAAAACAATGGAAACATTATCACGTGTTAGTGAAAAGATCAAATGTATCAATGAGCGGACACAGCTATCATATCTTCAGTGCTCTCTGCTTGCTTTCATATCAATGAATAGATGTGTTGTTGTTGGACACCTCAAAAATCTGAGTAATTACTCCAACAAATTTATCGACATTCAAAAGGTGTTTTTTGACAACGATGAGTATTCTTTTGTGTTCAACGTCCAGAGTTTTCTTGTCAAACGAGCACAAGAACGGATGTCCAGTTACAACAAGAAGAATTCAAGTGGAAAATGAGTTCTGCGAAAAGTGAGAAGTCGAAAGAAGCGGGAGTGCATTCATCTTTTAGAAGGCATTCTTTTTGAAGATGGATTTGTTGTGATGTATGACACAGAGAATCGGGAGGGGATTGGTGGGAATGTATTCATTATACTTCCTGATGGGTCTGTCAAGGACAAAGTGATGATAAAAAGACTTGGACAAACAATTTGGAATTACTGTGAAGTCGAAAAGAAAGATTCAAAAGAGATCACTTTGAATAATAGTGTGGTGATGACACTTTTATCCATAAAAATTATTAATTACTATGTATTTTGTGTTTGTTTTAATTTTGTTGTTTAACTATTTGACTATTGACCACTTAAAGAGAAAACTAATATATTAAATGTTTATTTAATTAAAATAATTTAAAGTTTACAAACTAATCAAATATAACAGTTAAAAAAAGACACTTTCACAATTCATTCTGGCAGTTGATACTTTATATTTTACATCTATTTTCAAAATTTATTAATATTTGATAAAAATATTAATAAAAACCAATTATAAATATTTTTTAATAAAAAATAATCTTATCTAGCAGAACTTTCTCTCAATTTAAATAATCAGAAAACTTTATTTTTCTGATTATTTAATATAGTTATGATATCCAATTAATAAAATTTATTATAATTTAAAAAAACCCATAATTGATAAAAATACTGAACTACTTTCGATTAATGAATTTTGAAATTATTGATCGGGACACAATAAGTAGATATGCTGCAACTGTCGAAACTTGTTAAACTTGGCGGTTGCCCCTTGGTGAATTTATTTTTTGAAGAAGATACAAAACACAGAGATGAGATGCCCGAAATAACCAAAAACATCTAAAAAGTTTTAATCAAGTGTTCGTTCCACTTTTAGGTTTGAGGGGTAAAACGTTCCCATTCTTTCATTCCATCTATCCTGCCATTCAAAAAATTGTTCATTTTGTTAAAACTTGTTGTACATTAATTCAAATTGTGGCGACGTGGTAAAATACATTAATGACACTTTTCCGTCACGTGTTGCTAATATTTCAAATGAAAACGAAACAAAAAGCGACAAACAAGTCATTTAAGTTGGAAGACAACAACACTCTTTGGTGTGAATTCTTCATTATCAGTCAACTCGTTTGGTTTGGCGGTGTAAGTGTTTGGGTTGCAATAACTATTATTTAAACCTTTTTTGTACACACGTATATCACAACCGTAACCAAATCCAAATAGACGTGGACAGAATTCAGAACTAAGAAAAAATTCAAAATCAGAATTAATCCCAGTCTTTTCAAACTTTCTTGGATTTAAAGTGCCACTTCTCACAAGTGAAAAAATGTAAGAACTGTCACTGCTAATAAAATTGCCAACAGCATTAATTTTGCCTGTGTACATGCCACCAAACTTGTTGTGATTTGTGTCTTCTATTAAAAAGCACAAGTTGCTTCTGTTTATGATTTTATCATCAAAAACTGAATAGTTTTGTGACCAATCGTCTTTGTCCGAGTCAAACACAACACGTGTGATCTTCGTTCCTGCCAATTGTTCAAGACTTTCTATTTCTTTACGTGCGACTTGTTCGCACTTCATTCATTCTTCTTCTTCGTCATGTTGTTTTTGTGAATTAATATATTTCTCCGATTGCATTATTTGATCAATTTTATTGTTTTTAATTTGAATGATTTTGTTGATTTCATCTGTATCTTTTGATAATTTTATATTCATTTGGCACTTTTCTTCAAGTAGTGATATTCTGATATTAAATATTTCATACAACTTCTCGTTGTCGCACTTTGTGGAGTACAGAGTTAACTCGCTTTTGATTTTGTTGGATGTGTTATCTATATCAATGACAGTTGTGTTGAGTGATGCTGTTATGATATTTTTTCTTTCAAACATTTCATGAAGTCTGTCGAAGTGTCCATCTGCATTTTCAATGCGTTGTTCAATATCAAGTGACTTGTCGTCAACAAAGTTGTATTCCTTTTTTAATTCGTTGAAATCTGACACCGCCTTTGTTGCGTTTGTGCAGAGTGCTGAGAGTGCTGTCAACTCGTTTTCCATTGTATGTTAATGGAGTTTATTTGTTTTTATAATTCATTTCGAATAAATTTCATTTAAAATAATTTTTTTTCCAACCAAATAATAGGTAGAGTCAGTCAAACAACGTTGTCTCATCGAAAATATTCCAAAATTTCAAGAACATTCCACAAATTATTGAGAATTGTAACAAAAAAAATATTATTTTTTTTATTTAAAAAATATTTTAAATTATTAACTTTATAAAAAGAACTACAAAATAAAATTAAAAGATTCATTTATTACTC